CAAAACTGGGAAGAGTTATCTATCTGTCTATTTAATTTCCCTCTGGTATTAATAAAGTATTTTTGAATTGAATTGGCTAGCAACCAGAGGGAGGGCAGAATAATGCATATTAATTCATTCAACCTTTATTTATACAGGTAAATCCCATTGAGCCTCGATGACTCATTTACAAGAGAGACCTGATTTCAACAAAGAAAGATGACAACAATGGACAACAGCAACAACAATAAACAACTGTAAAAAGTAATACTGCAGTTTTTTTTTTTGTTTTTTTTTACCAAATAGGATGGCTAAAAGAAAAAGGTAACAAAAAAAAAACAAAACAAAAAAAAAAAAAAAACAGCTAGATTCTAAGGCGAATGTAGAAAACTAAAAACGGGAACATGTCTGCATTGGTCCCTGCCAGGAGTCCAACAGATTCTTAAAGCCACTTAGAGAGGTCAAGGTTGAGAGCTTCAGAACTTATTCCAAGATATTCCAGGAAACAGGAGCGGAGTAGGAGAAGGCCCTTTTGCCTAGTTCAGTCCTCATTGGACTATATGCCACGGACTTCCGTTCTAGCGCTTCCGCATTCATTAGCCAGGCTGCGCACTTCCGGCTCTCAGGCATCACAGTGTTAGCAATGGCGTTTTTCACGCGTTCGCTGCAGGACTTGCCGACAATGCTGTCAATGATGTCTACAGAATTATTCAGACGTCCTCGAAAGCGCCCACATCCAAAAAGGACAAAGGATTTAAGCTTTATGTGTCCAACTACATAAATAACTATGAAGGTAAGTTGGTATTTGTTTTTCAGTTCACCAAACTGCCTCATATAGGCTACATATAACACAGCTAACATGGCTAATCTTGCGAAATTGTTGCGTAAACGTTGTGTTTTGTCTCTACAATGTTTCTGTTTAACACAAATCTTAGTTTCAAACAAGGAGGCAGGAGAAGTCACAGTTAGGGCTGAGTGTTTCCATTCCATGAAGAAGAGCCAGAAGCCCCATTGTTTGAGTGTAAGTCAAAGGGACCCGACATGTTCACTACAGGGCTGTGTTTTAAGAAGCTAGTAGGACTTTGAAGAAGTACACTTTTTATATACGATAGTCAAACTAAATCACATAACATTAATTGGCTACACAAGTTATCTCTGATTGACTAAAGCAACAAAAAAAGCCCAACTTGTGTTTATTTTATTTAGTTATTTCTGAGGTACACAAAGGAACAGTTGCTTCAGATTTGTTATTTTCAAATCAAGTTTCTGTGAATTCTGTCACTGCCAAAAAAGAATAAATGAAGAATATGATTGAACTGCATCAAATGGCACCTGGGTTGTCATGTAATACATAAACTTAGGGAGTATCAGAAAGAATATAACAGTAAGTTCTTTTTAGTTTAATGAGTAAAGTGAGCTTAGACAAAATATATTTTAATATATTTTACATGCTAAAGGTGTCTTAACATTTTTTCTCATTTCACTTTGATCATTTTTAATGATTACTTAAAAGGTTTATTAATGGTTTTATAATTATGGTTGTCTTTTTATAATAGCACTTGGAGCTGGTACATTTTGGTCTCTTAACAAATATTTGGTATTTGACACAGATGGTGCTGAGGGAATCAAAGCCGGTGGAGTTTCAGGGATGCCAGTGCACTTGTGTGGCAGGTACTGTCTTGTGCAGCCATGTGGCAGCTCTGCTGTTCCAGACGGCTCACTACTCCCAGTTGAAGCTTCCAGCTGTACCTCCAGTCCTAAGCTGCACAGATACCGAACAGAAGTGGCATAAACCAAGGACAATGGTAACTACATATACATGAGTCTTTAATCCTGTTTATGAATTTTAGTTCAATATTTACAGCAATGTTGTTTTTGGATGCAGGGCATAAAACCTGGTCCAGTAAATGACATGTTCGTCCTGTCAGCAAGACCAAGAGAGAGGAAAATCTTTGAAGGAATTAGGTTTGTTTTAATTTAAAGACCACAGACACACATGCACAATAACACACATGCACAATTTTTTTTAATTTAATTTAAAAACAAAACAGAACACATATGTACAACAAAAACTTAATTTAACCACTTAAGTTTATTTTGTGGGCAGCACGGTGGTGCAACTGGTAGAGCTGCTGCCTCTCAACGAGAAGGTTGCTGTTTCAAATCCCAGTCCGGGGGCCTTTCTGGGTGGAGTTTGCATGTTCTCAGTGACCCAAAGGAAGAAGCGAGTAAAAGATAATGGATGGATGGATGGAAGTTTATTTTGTACTATATTAGAAATACTTTAAAAATGCAAATAAGTAAATAATTCAACTTTGTTTTTAAACAAGACAATAATTTGAATCCCTAAAATACAATAACATAGGCTTCATTTAATATTAATTTTATCATTTGAATATTCATTTCTTGTTTATGACATAGTTTTCTTTTTCTCCACAGAAGCAACTTGTATGAAGGTGCTACCAGCCCTCTTCCACTCATCTCCACCCTAAGGATACAGGATGTGTACAAGGGACTTCCAGCTGAAGAAGCGCCAATGATAACCACAATGGCTGTCTCCAACGATGTCCCTCTTGTTGACTCTTTGTTTGGTCCGGTACAAGAGGGAAGCGTTCTGTCATATCAGCTGCCAGCAAGGATAGTTCCCAGGACCCGTCCACACCAAGACGCCCCTTCTCCCCCACAGCTTCCACTCTTCAATTACAGGCTTGAACCCTCCACCTGTGAGTATGTTTGTTCAGAACAAGAGCACCACCATATGACGTCCCTTGAGACAACATTATGTCTCACAAAATTGAGAGCAGCACGCTGGAGCAGAGTTTCTGTGCAGAGTGGCACCAACTAAGAAAGTGTCGTGTTACCTCAACAAGATTTAGGGAGGTCTGTCACACCAGGGGTGACAGCTCTTCTGAAAATCTTGCCAAAAGGCTTCCGAGACCCTCCAGTCAGACTGCTGACATGCGGCGGGGGCTTGCCTTAGAGCCAACAGCAGTAGAGGAGTACTGCAGGGTAAGGGAAGTCAACCACTACCCCTGTGGGTTCCTGATCCATCCTGACGCACCATGGATGGGGACATCACCAGACGGAATTATTTACGATCCTGAGGAGCAACAACCGTTTGGCCTTTTAGAAATAAAATGCCCAAATGTGACAAGCTGGGTGGACTGCTCTTACATAATGATTAGGGATGGTAGGCAGACACTCAAACGAACACATCCATATTACTGGCAGATCCAGGGACAAATGTTGATTTCAGGGTGTGACTGGTGTGACTTTGTCATTTACACAGAAAATGACATGTTCATTGAGAGGGTTCCTCGTGACATGGAAGTACTGCAAACCATAAAACAAAAGGTTGACCATTTCTTTTTTTATTTTTACCTCAGTGCTTGCCTGGTCAATGAAAGTGGCATTATAAAGCTAAACCTTTGAATATATGTGATTAAATATATTGTTAATACCTGAGTCATGTTCCTTTTATTTTATTTTAGTTTTAATCAGAGTTATTTCTGTTTAAGGTCTGATACAATTTATTCTGTATGAAATTTGCTACTTGACTGTCGTAATCGTACCCTCTTTGCAAACTGTTTCTGTTTCAACATTTTGTGCTCTAGATGAGTGGCATTATTTTTTTTTTTTTTTAGCAAGAACAGTTGATACTTTTTGGAGTTCCAGGAAGAGCCATTGTTAGTGCATTTAATTATATGATTAACAGCATATTACTTAACATAAAATATTTTTCATGTATTTATTCATTTTATTAATTCCTATTATATTTATATATATATATATAGATACCAAAAGAAAAAAGAAAAATCATGAATGAAAAAGAGTAGAAACTTATATCTGCCCCTGTAATCATGCTACGGTACTTTGCAGCCATTTGAAAAGATGCATTTTAATGTCCCACATGAAGGCTTGACTTATATGAAAAAACATTATATAAGAACTGATGTAATGGAAAAAAAGTATAAGAAATGTAGATATTTATGAATATGATTTACTTTTATTTTAAATACAAAAGTAACAAAATGAAAAGTAAATATATAGTATACTTTCTTGCTATTACTCAGGTGTCAGGCTTCTTTGCCCAGGCCTTTACTAGTGGGCCATTTTCATAATTTGTGAGTAGACAAGCAACAGTGAACAGTTAGTTGATTATCCCAAAAACACCAAGGGGAATTTCAGAGTCAAATAACTTGTGCTCTTTGACTCGGCGAATGAGGCGCTCCACATGCACCCTGAGGCGTGCTATGGCCTGGGTCTCTCTAACTTCCACTGCAGACATCTGAGACCTGCCAGACAGAAATGCTGGCCTGTACACTTTGCAGGGGACAATGTCATCAAGAAGAAAGCCTCTGTCCACCATAACAGCCATCCCTGGTTTTAACAGGGTGAGGAGACCAGATTCACGTGTGATCTGCTTGCCACTGATAGACCTGGCATACAGTCCTGAGATGAATGTCACTGCCCCATGAGGTGCAATCCCAATCAGCCCTTTCAGAGTGCAGTGGGATTTATAAAATGAAAACACCTCACTCTGGAGGAGAGGGGAAGATGGGCACTGACAC